ATATAACAATTACAATTGCAATCACAATCATGAAGAATTAATTTAGTGCATATTTGATACAGCTTAAAATTTAATTAAAATCATTTTTTTGATCGTTATTTTACTATTTCAATCGTCATTTTTAAATTCTTCCTTCACAAATAGGATTCACTTTATTTCTAACGATAAAAAAATCAATTAACAAAATTCTTACCAAACAAACACTTAATTTTCTTTCAAATTAAAAAAAAAATAATAATAAACAAATTGGATTTGATCTAAAAGTTAAAACCCGACAATTTCCTTTCTCTTACTCAAAAGTCTCAGAATCTGGGGTTAAGTTTCTTCTCTCTATTGAATTTCTACAGTGCATATCATCATCATTAACATATAATTTGCTACGGTTACCTTTATGTTAATCAACACCAAATCATCTACTGACACGTAGCCCTGCATACCCGCTGACCCCGGCACACGAGGTCTTGTCCTACACCTTACCCCACCACTGTGTTTCAGAATGCTCTGAATTTCTCATTTATTGTAATCACATGGCCTTGTACTCTTTCCCCTGATGTCTCACCACACAATCTCAGCCCTTCATCTACGTCGCGGAAATTTTGAATTTGAATTAGAACTTTGGAGATAATAATTTTTTTTTTCATATTTTTAACCACTTACTCATAAAATAATAATAATAATAATAATAATAATAATAATAATAATAATAATAATAAAAATCACTTTTCACTTCAAAAAGATTCTCCCAAACAAACCCTTGAGATTTTTAATTTTTCCATAATTTTAACAATAATTTCTAATAGCCACTTAATTAGTTAATTACTGAATAAGTTTGAAAAATTAAACCATTGTTTGAGTCCCATTTTAAAGGAAAAAATGAATTTTTTCCTATAGTGTATCGATGAGAAATGCGTGATTAAAAAATAATGAAATATAATATTATTTTATTGAAAAATAAATAGTTAAAATTATGTCAAAATATTGTAGAGGAATGCATTTTTTTTTTCAAAATAATGGGTTCAAACAAGCTGTAAAAGAAAAAGGCTGTGTGTATAGTGTACAACACTCTCACAATTGTGGGGCTCGCTATTATTTTAATCGTGGCCCTACCTCTTGTATGTGAGAATACTATCAATCATGATATCCAAATTGTTGTTCTCGTAGTATTGCTCAAATTAAAATCTTATTGGATGAAGAAATAATAAAAGAGGAAATTACAGAAAAGTCCATTTTGATATAGTCATTTGCAAAAATGTTCAAAAATTTTCAATGTCCATTTTTACAATTATTTGGATGAGAGTATCCCTAAGTAGCTTTCATGATAAGCTATATTAAAATGATGTTGTCGACATTTCAAATGTTGTTCTCGATATTTGAATCTGTTTATATTTTGTTCTCGTAGTATTGCTCAAATTAAAATCTTATTGGATGAAGAAATAATAAAAGAGGAAATTACAGAAAAGTCCATTTTGATATAGTCATTTGCAAAAATGTTCAAAAATTTTCAATGTCCATTTTTACAATTATTTGGACGAGAGTATCCCTAAGTAGCTTTCATGATAAGCTATATTAAAATGATGTTGTCGACATTTCAAATGTTGTTCTCGATATTTGAATCTGTTTATATTTCCCTACCTCTTGTATGTGAGAATACTATCAATCATGATATCCAAATTGTTGTTCTCGTAGTATTGCTCAAATTAAAATCTTATTGGATGAAGAAATAATAAAAGAGGAAATTACAGAAAAGTCCATTTTGATATAGTCATTTGCAAAAATGTTCAAAAATTTTCAATGTCCATTTTTACAATTATTTGGATGAGAGTATCCCTAAGTAGCTTTCATGATAAGCTATATTAAAATGATGTTGTCGACATTTCAAATGTTGTTCTCGATATTTGAATCTGTTTATATTTTAAAAGTATACATGTCAAATCACAATATTAAATGTTCTCGACATTTCAAACGTTGTTCTCGACATATTAAATGACTCGAATGACATTTGATTCCGAATATGATATTTTCTCTACACGTTAAATGTTGTTCACGACATTTCTGTATATAACATTAATTGTGATTTGACATTTGCAATATGAATTTATTTATTCTTTCATTAAATGTAAAATAGAGAATTTGACATCAAATTTGCCAATTTTTGTAAAGATTATAAAAAAGTGGACATTTTTGAATTTACATATGTAAAATTGGACATTTTTGCAAATGTCCCTAAATAAAATATAATAGACCAATCAGAAACGAGTATGGTGTTTGTTTTTCAAGCATCTGTGGTTTGACTCGGGTGCAGTGGAAAAGCCATGTCACAATATTAAAGGAAAGTTAGAGAGAGAGAGAGAAGGAAGCGTCCACGTCAGCGATTAATTTCTTCTTCTTTCTTCTCCTCGTTAATCGGGCACCCAAGCCTCGTTTCCCGTTCCTCCGCTCCCGCTGACACCGACAATTTGCAGCCGTTCAATAATATCTATCAACGATCCAGATTATCTCTTCCCAAATCGCCGTCTTTTTCCGAGACGTGATTCACGGAAGAAACTGTTCTTCTCATATCATCCCTAAAATAACCACTAGGGTAAATTTCGAATTTTATTTCTTTATATTTTTTCTTGGATTTTTCCATGTGTACAAAAAATATTTTTACAGAAAATCTACAGAAATCTCACATTGAAATGAGTTCTAATGAATAAAATAAAGATTATTCTTCTTGTACAAAATAGTCAAAATTCACAAGTGACGCCCTTTATTGGAGGGGGCGGATGTAAAAAAACCACCCACTCTATTATTGTGTGTGTTCTCTATCCATTCCGTGTGTATATTTTATGTACACACATCAACGTCCTTTTTTCTTTTCTTAAATATCCAACATATTGCCTGTTTGATCCAATTTTTTAAAATATATTTTATAAGAAGTGATTTTGGATAATACGTGATAAAAAGTGGAATAAAATTTTAGTTCATGTGCAAACTTATTTTATTGAAAAAAAAGTGTGATTGAAAATTAATTTAAAAAGAAAAATGAAATTTTATAAAATGTGGGCATTGTGTACTTCACCTCTTTTTTGAAGCTCAAAATTTCCAAATATTTCGTTCAAGAACTTCAATAAAAGTTTTCTTGAATTCTTAAATTATCTTGAAAAAAAATATATAAAATCTTTTCGCGTTTCAAAAACTTTCCAAGAATTTACATACGATGACGTTTCGAAGTGGAAACAGTAGCAATTTTTGAGGATAATAATCTAAGGTCAAAGAGTTTTTGTAAAGGTGACTGTAGAAATTTTCTTTAAGCTTAAACTAGATAAAAATGTAACCTTTACGTGTCGAGAATAAAACATTAATCTCCTTTTCTGTGCAAAAGAAGAGACAGATAATGAAGTTAAAAAAAGGTATCTTGAAGTAAAAATCTAATTATAAAAATGGAAATAACAGTAATTGAAATATCGATGGAGTGTGTGTGGGGTATTTGACAGTACAGTGAAGATAGAAAGTAGGTGTAGAGAGGAAGCTAAAAATAATAAGGTAATGATGAAAAATAAAAAACTGAGAAAAGAATCGCATTTATGAGATTGGAGGGTTCTGTTTCTGATCAGCCTTTTGTTTCTCGTGTAAAGAGCATTGATGTGTCACTGTGTGTCGTGTGTGTGAATAAATTTGAATGAAGATGAAAACAAAAAGGAGAAAATTTCATTGGAAGGTTCCAGTCTATGGATTTTGTTTACATATGAGTCCTCAAGTTTTAATTCTTGCCATTCATGTAGTCAATCTTGAGGCACTCCTTCTTATGAATGGATTCCATCCAAATAGAGTTGCACAAAACACACACAGTTATATTTTGTAAGGGTAATAAGTAAACATAAATAGTTTTAATAAGAAATAAATAAGAATCTGAAAAAATTAAAACTTAGTGCTTGTGTAAAAATTATTTTTGAAAATGATTGTTGGGAAATAAAAATGGATTGATGTAATATATATGATACAATACGAAGTATATGATCGCAAATAAATAACAAGATAAAAACCACTAATACTTATGAATGGAGTAGCCAATCTTTTACTCTTGCGGCACTGCTCCTTATGAATGGATTCCATCCAAATAGCATTGCACAAAACGCATAGAGTTATTTGTTGTGAGGGTTTTAGGAAAACATAAATAATTTTAATAAGAAATAAATAAATAGAATCTAAAAAAATTTAAACTGAATTGCTTGTGTCAAAAATATTTTTGAAAATTGAAAATTTGAAGTGCATGAATTGTTCGGAAATAAAAATGGATCGATGTAATATATATGACACAATATGAAGTATATGATAGCAGAGCTTTGTGTGGTGTCAACGTGCCTTTGAATTCGAAGTTTCAAAGTTGCAAGGAAAATATAATTATAGTTTTAAATTTTAGAGTTGAATAGTGAGTGGCATGATAGTGCAAAGGGGATTTGGGGTTTATTCTTTTCCATTTTTTTTTTTTGGTAGTTGAAATAAGAGTATAATCTTTTCTACGATAGAGAAAATAACGTTTTTCTTGCCACGAAAGTGCATAATTTAAATGCTGAGAATTGATGGCACCCGTTTGGATAAAATGCACAAGTTGGAGACTTCCCCTACAATTTTTCCATAGAAAAACTACGAGTAAGAAGTTGTCTAGTTGACTGGCAACAAACATGCATTGTGAATGACTCTTAAAGTCATGACCTAGGAAATGAAAGCCATAAAGTAAAATTTGGTATAACTTTCAGGCTATGACCTGTGACTTGTCTATGTACATTTAAGGGGTTGTCAAAGGGTAGGAGAAGAATTCTATTTTACATTTATACTTTGGCTACTTTGATAATTAACAATTTGGGGTTTTCAGAAGTAATTTAGGATCAACATGTGAATCATAAGCACAATTAGATCGAGTCAGTCCTGTTGTTTTGTGTAAAAAGACATATTATGGCACTGCAACCCTAAAAATCCTTCCCACCCCACCCCACTCCACCCCCACAAAACATTTTCTCTCTTTATAAAAAGCTATTGGCAGTAGGGTTTTCGAAAAAAAGAAATTGAAGGGCTGGTGGAATTGAGGGGAATGTTGGCTGGCTCGAGGCTGCTTCAGAGTAAGGTTCTGAATAGAAGAAAGTCTCTGAATAATGCTTCGGACCAGGCTTCATTCCCCTCAAAACATAATTTTATACATGGGAAAGAATTAATTTTTATGTTATATATGATTCTCGTGAGTGTCGTGTTGAGAGGAATGTTGTCTGGCTCGAGATCATCGAGGTGATTCTAATATGTTAGTGGAAACCCTAAATGATTCTCGGACCAGGCTTCATCCCCCCCAACCATCATTTGCAGCTTGCCACAGCCAACCTTGGGTAAGAACTTTACTTGTTCTATATACTTACACACACCTTTTCTTTTAAGAGGTCATATCACTCTGTTTGCTAGCGAAGATTACATAGTTCTGGATCGTCCTAGAAATTTTGAAGTTGTTTGGTCTCTCACTTGTCTGTTCCTTTACTCCTTTCGACCGCTAAATAAAGATTAATTACATGTAATTGTCGCACACGTAAACTATGTATGTATCATCAACATACGTCTTGTTTCATGCAAACGTACAAGGAAAATGGCTTTGCTTGAGAGGAGAAAATGACTTTGTCATTTATCAGCATTGAATTGAGGGACTGATCCCATGAAAGATTGAAATAAGATATACTTCAGTAATTGTCCACCAAAAAACTTGGGGAAAATTATTAAGAAGAATCTGAGACGCTTAAATCCCGTGTCATATTTCGTTGTCATTATCAAATCATGTTTCTATTTATGCTGCATGTTTGTAAGGTACAGTGTAGACATGTTATGCAAGACAATTGTTGGATTTGGTGGAAGAAAATCTTCTATTAATCTGTTTACTTACTAGTCTTTAATGTTAATTCTATAGCTCTTTTATTGCAGAAACTAGAAAGAGAGAGATAAGAGCAATGAATTGACAATTATTTCTTGGGATATGTAAATAGATTAGCACATTTTGGAGTTATTCAAAGGCAAACTTCGCCTTGAAAGTTGAACCAGCAGCAGCAATTGTATTTTTTTCTCTATTTTTGTGTACTGGGAATTGAATAATTGTACAAGATAACCTCAAACCCATTTATGTTATTTAACCTGGATTGTGAATATAGGTGATTACCATCAGTTCATAAGATAATGGGATCACTAACATAGAAACGGGTGATTATATATAGCATCATTCTTTAAGATTTATGAACATTTTCATGGTGATATTTTCAACATCCAGCTACTAAACCCTGTTCAATTATTGATTGAAGAGACATTTTAAAGCATAAACCTCAAAATAAGTTAATAAAATAATTCAAAATATTATGAAAAAATTAATATGTCCTTATACAGTTGTACTCAACCACAAACTATCACAAAGACGCATATTAAAAAATAATAGCATTCTTATAACTAAATACCAACCTTCTGTTAGAATATAAATAAGAAGTATTCCATATATTCATTACCAATAGGATGTTGGATGTATAAGAAAACTTCAACATATTTAATTCTCATATTGTCATCCTTACCATCGTCAATTCTTCTGTTTCCCTTTCTTCCTAAAGCCCGAACCATGAAACAGAAAACCAAGGAGACATTTTCCTCTAAAAAATCAGTGCAAAAAGAGTAGACCATTAATAAAATGGCCAGAGAAAGTTATCCACCTTGAGGCTTAGGTTTCAGGCATAAACCTTGAGAATGGCACATAAGGACTAAAGATTGAAGTGTTTAATGATACAAGAGCATACTTGAAATGACTTAAACTCAAGGGAGTCAGCTCGAATCAATCTTTGTGATATAGGGTGGAATATGTTAGTGCTAAAAGATATAATTTTTATCTTACGCCCTCAAATAACTTTTTTCAAGCAACGCAAAGAGTAATCAATTATAGAGTATAAAATCATCCCATCAAGATGTTTCTTGTGTTAGACAACTGGCTTAACAATTATTCGAACAATCAAAGGAAAGAGAAAATGGAAAATTAAGAATTATATTTCTGGCTTTAGAGAATTAAATTTTCTCTATCGTCCTCTTCATTTTATTCTTATTTTTATTTTAATGTAGATAAAAGACACTAGGCACAAAAAAATTTTGTTATAAAACCCAGCCCGGACCGACCGGTCGGACCGTAAAATCGGTGACCCAGGCCCTTGACCGGGTTGGGTAGAATATTTTCATAAATATGCAATTGACTCGGTAAAAATCGAGTTGACCCGCCGAGTTAACCAGTGATTTTTATATTAACTCGATCGGTTGATCGGTTTGACCAAGATTTAAAAGTTTGTCCATAAATTTTTTATTCTTAAAAGGACTTTAACCTTAGACCTCTAGGTAAATTGAGTAACACGTAATCACTAGAGATTATGTGTTTATTGTTATGTATTTGCAATAATTATGTATATGTAAATCATTTATAGTTTGTTAAAAATATTTTTAAAAATTTATAGTAACTATTTTGATTAACATGAATTGAATATTTAACAAAATAATATATAAATATATAAATAATTAATGATAAATAATTTTTGTTTTTGTTTTATTTAAAAGAAAAATTTTATACTTTAAATTTTTTTTTATAATTATTCAACATTGACCCACCGGCCTAACCACAAACCGACCGGTTCGACTAGCAATCCGAGACTCGGTGCCTTGACCAGGTCAATGGTCGGGTTTAATAACTATGACAAAAATATTGGGTTGTAAACCGAACTCATTGAAGACTAATAAGGGTGTCCTCAACTAAGATTTTGATGGATTTTGAAAGGTTATAAATCCTAATGAATTTCATGAATAAATTTTTCCAAATTCCACAAAAATCTATATCTATATTATAGTAAGTATCACATCAAGTGAGAATCAAATTTATTTATTTATTTTGACAATTCTAGCCTTACTATAATTCAATTATTTCAATAATATATTATTTTTCATTTTTCAATATGTATTTAGTTTATTTAATTATTTCGTTTCCATCAATGTACATGTATATTTAATAGATTTCATTCCGCTCATGTACTTTCTTTAATGTATGAATTACCGATTATTAATTCACAATTAGTTAACATTAACATTCATTTAATTATTATTCATCTTTATTTATGCATTTCAATGTCATTAATTATAAGTTAATTGGAATTTCACATTCAAAACTACATTTCATTATTCACGTCAAATAAATGATTACAAATTAAATAAATGATTTAACATTCATTGTCACCCATATATTCCCTAATATTAATTCTAAATTAATTAACAATCACACATATTCAAATATTACTTTTACTATTTCATAATTGCACATTCAACGTTGACTAGTCTTATCAAATATGGTAAAAATTCAAAAAAAATTGGCTATTTGTATTTCTAAACTTGAAATTCATCCAAATCTTTTAAGAGGTCGTTTGAGCCTCTTTATTTGTAGATTATAATAAGATGAATAATGTTTTTTTGAAAAATGAACGGTTGAAAAATTTTTAATTTACGTGTAATATTATTTTATTGAAGATTGTGTAGTTAAAAGTAGGAGAGAGAAAAATTTAATTTAATGTAATGAGAAATAATAGGGCTCAAACGGGAGCTAAAATTCTTCTATCAATGAAATCTTTATAAATTCACTAACTATTTAAGGTACCTAAATTTTAAAAGATTTCATTAAGTTTCATTAAAATCTCAATTGTGAATACCTAAATTTTAATGGATTTCGTAAAAATCTCAATTGAAAACACCGAAATTTAAAAAAATAAAATAAAAATGGAATCCATCGCATTTTCAATTAAAGACATCCCTCGAATTTTGCATTTGATTGTCCATTCATTAAATATCTATGCCCCATAAACTATAACTACGTCCACTAGAATGACAAGTGAATTGCAATAAGTAGAATGCAATGAAACCTTTTAAAGATCCACAAGAAATCCATGTTTTCATATTGAAACAATCCATGCTCATATCATTACTTTTGCTTTGTTAGAAAATAAAATGTGGAACGCGTACTTATTTTCCCGAAAAACACTCGTATAATAAGTAAATTTAAAATAATAATAATAAAAAAAAACTACTAAGTAATGGAAAACATGATTTTAACAATCGCACAATCTCTAAATATAGCAATTGATAAATTATTCCTTCAGAAAATAGAAATTCTTTTACCAATTAGAACAAAAAATAGAATTACAAATTATGTTTAGAATCTGATCTTTAATATCTAAGTGAATATCGTCGAAAAATATTAGTAATTTTGTATGAAGATTCCGATAGACACGATGTTCTTCAATGATATTGAGTTTGCTTGGGAATTTATGCTTTCAAATAATTTATTGGGAGGTTTGTGGAAGGAAAATCAATGTTGATTGCAATGATCTTCTTAACTAGTGCAAGTGGATTATATTTTAAAGGAAATTTAATTAATACGCACCTACTCGATGTCACTAAATGATAGGTTATATGAAATGAGTTATTTAATTTTACCTATTAATTGATGTCACATTAACACTATTTAGACTGGGGTTAGGGCCCCAATAAGACTAAATAGCATTACTCTAAATTGATTACAAAGAGGGGAAAAAAAACTTTATTACTCACTTTTTGCCTATAAATATTAAATCCCTCCAATCCATCACATTATAACCACAACGCACCGAAGCTAATGTGATAAAAAAGAAAAAGAAAAAAAGAGCAATATGAAGTTTTTAGGTGTGTCCGTTATGCTTCTACTTCTACTTCTCATATGTGAAGGTATTTTTTTTTTTCTCAATATATTCGTAACACGTTTCTATTTGAAAATAGTCTTTCTTCAAATAATATCATCCATTTTGTAATTTATTTTTCTTGTACGACATGTTTTGATAGGTGATGCAATGACAAAGGAGTCCATGGCATCAAGAGGTTAGATGAGACACTGTTAAATACTACTTAATAAACATGTTAATAGTATTTTTCATTAATCCATGTAATTGCAAGAGGTTTAGTTTGAAGTTTTGTTAGTCTTTGCAGGTGAAGGAGAAGTTAAAGTCCGAACATGTACTAAGGATATTGATGTTTCTGAACCTTGTGATGAAATAGCATGCGAGAACACTTGCACGAAACTAAATATACGGCATGTATCTGGAAGTTGCACATTCTCTGATACTTGCACGTGCCAATATCCATGTTAATTATGTTCAAAATAGTGAAATTGAGTTTCAATGAGACTAGTTATATGTATCTCATTCGGCTCGAATAAATGTTAAGTATTCGCTATTTCAATGGATCACTCATTTCTTATGACTTATTTGCCCAAGATATATTTATTTAAAAAAGAAAAAGAAAATAACGAATGCAAAGTTCCAATAAAATGTTTTTCCTATTATAAACTAGAGATAAAGAGAAGAAGATAGAGAGAGCAATAGATTTGTTTGTATTTTATTCAAAGCCAAAACTCTATCTTTTTATATAAGAATTATGGTCACAGGATATAATAGTCATAATAATTATGACCGCATGAATACAAT